TCATTTGTATTGAGAACTTTTTTTTCTTTTGAAAAGCAGGCTAGTTTGAGGGAAACAGGTACTTTAAAACATAATTTTTCTTTTTTGTGATTATCAAAGGATTTGTTTTCCTCACCCAAGCAGAATGAAGCAACATTGAACGTTTTATTGCAAGCAACGTGTCAGAATCGCTTAGTTACATCTGATAAGAACAGTTCTGATAAAAAAACTTGCAGTCCACAACAAACACTTTTGACAACATCTGATTTCTTTTCATACTAATATGTATTAACACCAGAACACAGATCTATAAAATTACCTAATTTTGGAATGGGTAGTGCTAAAAGGAGAGATGGCTAAACTAAAAGTGAAATTCTTCACAAGTGAAATTCTTATCTGTCACAAGGAGAGTCAAACAGAACTACCTCATTTGGGGTTCCTTATCTTTCAAACTAAAAATATATTAATAATTTTTACAAAGAACATCAATGTTTTTTCTTTTTTGTGATTATCAATGTCATCATTGATAATCAGTAGTAGTAGTCAGTCAGTAATATTTCACAATTATTTAATTGAAGTCCTTTTCACCCTTCAGTCAAAATATCTCATTCATCTCATCTTCTCTTACGGTAGAAGATGAGCTACATTACTTTAATAAAGTAACTTCAAATGTGAACATTTAGCTTTAAAAAAATAAGGCTAGATGAGCTACATTATATTAAGTAACCTCAAATGTGACTATTTGCCTTAAAAAATAAAGCTCACAATAAACTCACATAATTGAGATTGTGGATAATCCTTTAATTAGTTTTTCTGTTTTAAAGGAAAGATGTCAAAAGTCATCGTACATATCCCAGTTCCCTTACGTCACTTCATTCAACAGGAAACGGTACTCACGATCTTACAAAAACACTTGCATCTCCACAGACAAAAAAACAGCAGCTTTTTTTAAACTAAAAACTAATACAAATCTAGTGAATATTTTGATGCCATCGCGGCAAATTTCCAGGAGAAGTGTTTACAGGATTAGGCACAGACTGCCAGGGTTTTTGCAGTTTGCGAATTCCAGGAGCAATTATTGTTTCAGAAATGGCAACAGCCAGGAACTCTATTCAAGTCAACGAGCTGGAGAGCTGCTTTTTATAGAGACTGTGTCCCTCAGTTAGTACTAGCATCCCAAAGACTGCCCAAGCAGGAAGTACGCAACTTGAATTAACACCAGCCAAACACATTCTGCACGCCACATAACGCCGCAGTGCCTCATACTCCTTTTCTCTCTTCGCTTTTAAAAACACGGCCCAATGAAAACACGCAGCACAGTGGAGAACAACATAAAAAGATGCATGAGCTTTGATGCCCTTGTTGCACAAGTTTTGATATTCAGAGAAAATATAAAAAATTTTTGAGTCAATTATTTGCACGCAACGATATTCCAAAATATTTGATATTGTAAAAGGACTTCAGGGCCAGTTATGGGTCAGGCAGTCAAAACGCAAAAGGAGACTTCAAGTGACATATCAAGCAAGGCACTACTTACTGTTATATACCGTAACAAACATACTTCTATTCCCAAATCACAACTTTCAGAAAACTCATTTTTGATTGCAAAAAGTCGATTAGCAGTTCATTTACTTTTCTCCTCAGTACATATCCATTAAATACTGTGAGACAAACAAAGACTTCAGGGTGTGGGGGGAGCAGGTTGGAATAGTACTGCTGTTCATAATATAGTGTACACACTATGCAAAAATTAACAATTCTATTCCTATTCAGTCTATATAATTTTTTGATTATTTCCTGCCATATGATAACCATGTCTTGGTCTTTAAGAACAGTAATCTTAAAACTCATCTGCTGCACGTTGTATGTATATTTGTTTACAAGGCCTAATACTTCATAAATAAAGCCTCAGACAACGTTCCAAAAAATTGACTGAAGTCTGCTATGTTGGAAGATGGAAAATTTATCCGGTTTTAGCAAATGTCAAATCATTGGCTATTGCTTTTAAGATTAATAAAAGATATAATGGCTTCTAGATAGCCTCTAAATAAAGATTACTATGAATGGAGAAATGATTTACCAATAGTCACCACAATGAGATTTCTTTAAAGGTTACAATCATCAGTTATTTAGCTGAAACACTGTTGAGAATGCCTGGTCATTTCTTGAATAATGCATAATGCTCATTGTAGATTTGATCTGTATTATAACAATACAGATATTTCTAAAATAATGGAGAAAACTATCTGTTACTTTCCAATTGCTCAAGATATCATTTCCATGAAGTAATTGACTCTGAAAATATTATATGGAGTCACCTGAGTGTTCATTTTCAAGCACAACTTGCAGTGATTGGTACACAACAGGCATAAGAAAACAAACTCATCAGCCTTTATAGACTTTTAAGAAAAGCCGTGATAAATACCGGGCAGAGTAAAGGGCCTTCCTGAAATACTGAATTAAAATGATTAAATTGCTGTACAGTACTAGGCGACACAATTTAAAACTAAGCTTTGAAATTTAATTATTAACAAGTAGACCATCACATTTGGAAAAATAAATGAATAAAGCAGTTGCCTACACAGCATATGTTCCTCTCTTATAATTTTCCAAATGTCTTTAAGTCTATTCAGGAGATTGCTTGGGGACACAAAAAGTATAATGCCTAGAGTTTTATTGTAGGATTATCAACCATACTTCATATGAAGCGGCAAGCTATTTATGTGAGCATGTTTATCCATATGAACTTCTTCAAGGGCAGCAACAAACAACCTCAATAAATGAAAATGAATTTTTTTTGATATAATTTCATGAATGTTTGATCAGAATGTTTTAACAGCTTTCTATATAAGGAGAACTACTGAAATAATAAAACGCACCTGTATTTTACAGTTCAACCTGCTGACAGTGAATTCTTACACAATGAAACACCATTTTTTGGTAGTGGCTAAGAATTGTTTCAACACACTGACACATACAAAATACAACCCTGGTTAGTAGAAAGAACTTCCACGCAAACACAAAAGGAAAAAAAACACTAAACTTCCTGTGCTTCCACATACCTCTCATGCCTAGAGGTATGGGATGGCTAGAAAAGGAACTAACCATAGCACCAACCGGGTGGAGGAGCAGGATTATTGCCTCAGATAGGATGGAAAGCCAGCATTAAGTGTTTACGTAGGTTTTTCAAAGGAATAAAGAAGTTAATCTAGACTACACTATTTTTGCTCAAATATGCTCTTGTCTAAGAATAAGGCCTAGTTCTCCCTAAAATTCTTTCCTTCATCAGAATGGATGAAGCACAAAAAATAAAGCACCAGTATTCAAGCATATATTTCTTTTTCCACAAGAGAATAATAAAAAACACAGATCCCAAATACTCTATAAGCTTACATAAAGACCTGCAGAAACCAGACTTTCTGTAACATGGGACAGCTTATGGAAGCACCTTAGGGTTGTTGGGAAGGATTAGCAATTTTAACAGACCGATCATAGTTCCTACAGCACAGAGTCCATTTTACATCCCTCTCGAAACACTGTTTGTTTAATTGCCTGACAATAAACTCTCACACTGAAAAAATGGGGAACATTTGCATATTATATCACAAGTCTGATGAACCATGTTATACTCGTGCTCTCGATGATGTAATTACCTTTTTTTCCTCCATGAAAATTATATATGATGTGGCAGGTAATATAAATGAAATATATGAAGTGACGCAAATATGCCCAGCTACTAAATCATCAGTCTGAAAGTCCTTTGCTTTTGCCCACCATATCTGTCTTCTCCTTCCAGGGAAAATTGTAACTTTTCTTTACTAATAGTATTTCCTCTGAAGGGAAGAGCAAGTAAAAGCTGGTTGCACAGCTAGTATCAGTAAGCCTGCGTGGGCAGTTTTTGCGGGTTGATAAGTAAGATCCTAACCCCCCGCACCTGCCTTTAGAGGTGGCCATTTCTGCTGCCTCACACTATGTACCGTCTATTGAGTTTAGTGCAGACCAACCCTTTAAGTTCCCTAATAGGTGGAAAATAAATGAAGTTCTCAAATCTCATATGCTTCTCTCCAAAATATTTCTCCTCCAAAATGTGAGATCAGTATCTGAAATAAAACAGGGCAATTTTCTGTGCTATCAAAACCAGGCCAACCACACTTTCACAGTTTTTGGTAACTGTGTTTTGTTAATGCAGTTTGTACACTAAACTGAAATACTTTTCAGACAGCAAGATTACACTCATCTGTGTAAGAAGGAGTATGAGTAAAAAATAACACAAAAAATGTCCGGCTTATTAGAAGCATCAGTTAGGATCAAATCAATACACACATACCCTCTAAAATCAAGTTTCTGATTTCTCTATTACCAGACTTCAATAGCATCTCATGTCTAAAAAAACACTTGTTTTGTTGCCCAACTGCTTGTTTAAACATGAAAAGGAGGTGTTCAATATTGAAATCAGTCTATTTAGGCTAAAATGTCGATAGATACCCAGAGGCTCAGAAACTAGAATAATTCACGTACGCATTATAAGATGATACACAAAATCCTGGTCTCTGATCTGATAACTAGAAAACTTGAATGTGATGTTCTTGAACTTAATAAACACATGATTCTGCCTTTAATGTTTAGCCACAGAATTCAGAGAACTGATGTAATGTTTGAGTCCTCAAATCAAGAAATGATGCCGTGATCCAGTCAGACTCATCCTTTTATAAAATATTAAAATAAACAAAGCAACACAATCATTGCTAAATAACTTTAAACAATTTAAGCTACGTTTCCCAGGAGGCTTACAGCTATCATGGTTATATTGAAGTTTATTGTTAAATAAAATATGAATAAAATAAGAGGTTTCTTTCACCTTCGCATGGTGTCTTTCTCATGCAGACCTCAGATTTCCACATTTGTATCCCTTTAAAGGATTTGATATGCAGGGAAAGAAGAAAGGATGATGGTAAAAATTTCAATTTAGAGGTTACTAAAGGCTGCCATATTCGATACTACACAACATGTTTGCTCCATACCTTTTACTGATGTGTTAGGTGGAGGCCCTTCCATTCTCAAGTTCCACGGAGGATCGCCTTGATTAGCAAAGTCCCTCATTTTCAGATAACTAATTGTAAGTCGGATGATGGATGCCTTGTCAAGCTGGCTGGTAATGGCTGCAGGCAGAGGCAACAACTTTGCCAACTCATAGAATTCAAAATTCTCCTTTCCCCGACGAGAGCGAGCAGCATCTCGGGACTTTTCCTTCCTCAAAGCTTGTAAACTGAAAAAAAAATAAAACAAAGCAGGGCATTCATCAACATTTGTGTTCTGTCACATTTAACCAGTCTGCTTTTTCAATGCTGGTCTTCTATACAAATTATCACATTTTTAAAATACTATTGTGTATAGATATACAGGCTTCAGGATGTATTTTATGGTCACAGTCTTTGAATATTTAAAACTAATAATAGCATTTGTCTCTCAGTGGTAGCCAGCATGCTAAGTAACTGCTCCTAACTCATTTCACCTGTTTTCCTTTCAGCCTGCCTGTTCTTCCTCTGCTGCCAGTGACATGGATTCACAAGAAAGTTGCATTCACGTGGGGTTTACCTGCATGGATGCTATTGCTTCTCCTAACCCATTGTAAACCATCGTCATCTAAATTTGCGCCAAATTCTGACTCTAGGGAGGAGGAGATGAAAGCAGATGACTGAAGTATGTGCTGTCTGTGCCAGAGGTTGCTGTGCAGGCAGCCAAGATGACCAAGCAGGTTATAAAGCAGCTTCTGAGCTGCAGGAGTTTAGTCTGGCATAACAACATAAACCTCCATGGATTTCATGAAGCTGTTCTTAATCAGCTGTCCTTGCTGTGGGAACAGCAGCCTTTGCCAGAGGGGTGAGCAAGCAGTTAACAGAGTTATGTCCATCAGGTTTCTGATTTTAATTCACTACCATATACATGTCAGTCTCTCACACAACTTTCTGGTCAGAAGGGACTTTCTGTTCTACACTGAGCAGGCAGGAGTAAAAAGAGACATTCGCTTGCTCCTATTGCATCAGTGTTTCGCTGGCCACCACCTGTATGAAAGGGAAGAGGCCTAAAGGTAATGCAGATCTTTTTCTCAGGCTATTTTTTTAATTGGTCTGTAACTGCTGAATCCATATTTTGATGATATTGGGTAACTGCTGGGGTCTTTTCTTGATCTTTTCCTGAAACTCAAAGTTTCAGTTTGTTTCAAGGTATGATAATACAGCTTTGCAAGGGGGAAAAGGGTTAACTTTTTTTGTTATGTGGTTTGGGAAGGATAAAGAAATGTGCAGCACATTTCCCAGAAGGTTAGAAGTCCATGTGCAGATGATACAAAAGGAATAGGAATTGCCTCATTTTTGTTTCATGAGAGTTTTTAAACATGTTTTATGATAAGGACGTGATCTGCTTGGCCATACTTCTGTCTTGGCAGATAGAGATTGGTGTCAATGTTGACGTTGCTGTCTGCCAACCAATGTGTTAAAGTGAGCAGAAACAGTTCTTGTCCACTGCAGAGACTGTACCAGAGACTGTCTCCTTTGCTTCATTTGATTACTTTTTTATTTGATGAAGTTATGACCACAATGCCATTAACTAATTACTGGTGGAATTCAACCAGTATTTAGAATAGTGCATGCTTCTCTCTAGCTTCTATAACCCTCCCTGAAACCTCAGCTTTAATTCACAGCAAAACCTTAATGCCCAGATCTACAAGAGCCCTTTGGGATATGAAGTAGGTAGGCAGAATTTACGCATGTAAATGTAATATCATGCTACTGAGATCTCTATTTACCTATCATCCTAATTTGGAGATACTTTCAACTCCAACTAAACTTTCACTTTAGTATTCTTACCGACCTGCACTTTTGCGGCTGTGCATGCCCACGATATACCTGAAAGGGAAGATCAGCTGGGCCCCTAAAGCCCAAATGAAATCTCCCCATCACACTCCCCTGAGAATGCTTAACAAATTATCTTCCGTACACAATTCTATACTAAAAGCAATTATACTTAAAAAGACAGTTGAGCAAAGAGATAGGATGGTGAGAGGTAAAGATAACAGGGGGAAAAGGTGCCTTTTTACCCACAAGCAAACACAGAAAGTCCTACTGAATCCTATTCTCTGGGAGTGGTGGTCAAGGGTCTGGGAGCCCAGGTCGTTTTCTCCTCAATCTTGCCTGTGAGGGGAAGGGACAGGAGGAGGAGTAGACGAGTTTTCCAAGTTAACAACTGGCTGCGCCGCTGGTGTTGGCAACAGGGCTTTGGTTTCTATGACCATGGGACCCTGTTTGAAGAGCAACAGCTGATGGGGAGCGATGGGATCCACCTCACCAAGCGGGGCACACACGTCTTTGCCAACAGATTGGCCAGCCTGGTAAGGAGGGCTTTAAACTAGGCAAGATGGGGGAAGGGGAGTGGTATAGTGGCAGGGCAGGGGAGTCAGTAAAACACCGCTCAAGTCAGGATGCCTCCAGCGGGTGCATACAGCCAGGGGAGACAGCATGGAACATGGCTATGGAGGATCCTCTTGCACCTCTCCTGGGAAGCCTGCGTGCTTGACTGGCTCTCT